TAGTATAGTAACTCGGGGTGTACACATTTGTAAGTGTCTTTCAGTTTGGCACGCATACGTACCAAACAAAAGGGCCGGTCCCACTATACTTTTCATTCTATTGACTTCCACTTGTGCGCATGTGAATCCAGGAGAGTGGAAACGCAAGCTTGTGTGAAAAATGTTTGCATTTCGCTGCGAAAGTTCAAGTCCAACTCTGGGCAGCATTCTCTATTGGTAACAGCCTATAGGATTCTGATTGATTCAATTAATTGTTTAAACTTAAGTATTTGATATAAAAGACCACACTCACACATTTAATAATGAAATTAATAAAATTGCCTGTCACACTTTATTTTAAGGTCCAATTCTCGCTATTACCAAACCATTAACTATGACTTTTGCCGCAATAAACTCCTAATTTGCTGCTTATTAATAGTTAGTAAAGTAGTTGTTAAGTTTAGGTATTGGGTAGGATTAGGAGTGTAGAATATGGTCATGCAGAATACGTGCTTTATAAGTACTAATAAACAGTCAATATGTTAATAATAGGCATGCTAATAAGCATCTAGTTAATAGTGACAGTTGGTCCCTATACTAAAGTGTTACCAAACTACCTGTACAGTATCTTATATTGTAATGCGGTTCCTCAAAGAAAAGAAACCGACCCATCTCTAGAGAAAGGCACATATTCTACACTACCTCTTCTTATTCTGCTTTCCATTCCAAAAATGTGTTGATGAAAACACATTTCAATTTATACTGGAACAAAGCGACAGCATACAAAAAAACCCAAAAAAAACTGAAAGTATGTCATGGAAATGTTTTCCTGTAAAAACTATTAATTCAGGACCAGGTCTTGTGCTCCAGGAGATGATGATGATGATGATGTCACATGTCCACTGGCAGCGTTAATGACTGAAATCTAATTAAACACGTACAGTTACTGCCAAGAGTGCGTGATGCACCAGGACAAGGGCCAAACAAACAAACAGCAAATAATGAGCCTGATGTCATTCTTCAACCTAAATGGGAGGTTTTCCACCAATGTTTAGACACTGTAAATAATCTCACATCTGTGCCTGGTGGGTATGTTGAACGTGGCACACAGCTTGTCAGGGGAGTTTTGCTCATTTTCCTTGAGTGACAGTGAAAAAGCGAGGCCAGACAAACTCGAACAGCATCTAACCTGAAGTGTGCGATTCCACCCGGCACACAAACCCTGCGAGCTTCCTCAGAACACCATCCTAACCACTTCCACATCTCCCGCTGCATTCCTGTGGTTGGGAACGGGCTCCGGGAGCACAGGCAGTAACCCCACGCTAGCTCCACATCTAAGAACTCTGTTGTGGGCCAGGAGATGGCCTTCCCAAAACAGGACTTAGAGCAGAGCCTCTTCCACAGCCCCATAATCCAGTCCAGACCACAGCATTGTTCACATTTTACTGGTCTCTGCTAGCACACAACAATACTAGAGCACTGCTGGATATCACGGCTTCAGAGTAGTCAGGGAGGCAAGACTGACCAAATATTGCCCTTGTACACTCAAATGAGAAGCAGCATTTGTGTATCCAAATAACAGTATAATAAATAATTGTAAACATTATAAACATTGTAAATATTATGCAAGGTTTATTGTAACAGTGCAGCTGGGTTATTATAGTTAACTAAAACTAAGGGTGTTTTCAGACCTGTAGATCGTTTGCTTTGTTCCGAAACAGGGACTTAATTTGTTACAATGTTGCATTTTCTTCTTGGTTCGATTCACTTTCACAAGGCAACATTGCAAAGCATACCAAACTGGGTTTATGCAGGTCACATGTGAGTAAAGCTGTCCTCTTATTGGTCAGAATTCACCTGATTACGTTCCTCTGCGTCATTCATCAAGATGGATTGACAAGTTCGTTCCACGGGCTGGAACACGCAAACACTTACGAATGTAGCCGTCATTCATGCTCTAATATATATATATACAGTATCTCACAGAAGTGAGTACACCCCTCACATTTTTGTAAATATTTTATTATATCTTTTCATGTGACAACACTGAAGAAATGACACTTTGCTACAATGTAAAGTAGTGAGTGTACAGCTTGTATAACAGTGTAAATTTGCTGTCCCCTCAAAATAACTCAACACACAGCCATTAATGTCTAAACCGCTGGCCACAAAAGGGAGTACACCCCTAAGTGAAAATGTCCAAATTGAGCCCAAAGTGTCAATATTTTGTGCGCCCACCATTATTTTCCAGCACTGCCTTAACCCTCTTGGGCATGGAGTTCACCAGAGCTTCACAGGTTGCCACTGGAGTCCTCTTCCACTCATGACGACATCACGGAGCTGGTGGATGTTAGACACCTTGCGCTCCTCCACCTTCCGTTTGAGGATGCCCACACAGATGCTCAATAGGGTTTAGGTCTGGAGACATGCTTGGCCAATCCATCACCTTTACCCTCAGCTTCTTTAGCAAGGCAGTGGTCGTCTTGGAGGTTGTGACGAGTGGGGGCGGGGCCGAGAGCCGTGGGAACGGAGCGAGGCCGGTGTAGTAATTGATAATGAGCGACAGGTGTGTTTGGGGTCGTTATCATGTTGGAATACTGCCCTGCGGCCCAGTCTCCGAAGGGAGGGGATCATGCTCTGCTTCTGTATGTCACAGTGCATGTTGGCATTTATGGTTCCCTCAATGAACTGTAGCTCCCCAGTGCAGACAGCACTCATGCAGCCCCAGACCATGACACTCACACCAACATGGTTGACTGTAGGCAAGACACAATTGTCTTTGTACTCCTCACCTGGTTGCCGCCACACACGCTTGACACCATCTGAACCAAATAAGTTTATCTTGGTCTCATCAGACCACAGGACATGGTTCCAGTAATCCATGTCCTATGACCGCCATCAATTCGTAGCAGTGAATGAAGAGGTATCATATCGATCACAAGTGCAGTATGGAGTACCTCAAGGCTCAGTACTAGGGCCGTTACTCTTCACGCTTTACAGCGTGAGTTACCCTTGGGAGATATCATCAGGACACACGGTGTTAGCTTTCACTGTTATGCTGATGATACTCAGCTCTATATTTCTTCGCGGCCACTCACTCACAGAATCAGACACTGTCTGCTGCTTTTTACATAACATATTTCCCGTTATGAATTATGATACTGCTTGGTTCGTTGGGTCGGATTGCTTTCTCACCACGAGCGAACCGCTCCAGACTCCGTTTGCAATTGGGCCGAGACCACCTCTTCAAGGAGGTCTCGGTACGCTTGTTTGGTCCACTTTTGGTGCACACCTGAGTGCGTTTGCTGCATTCACACCTGCCCAAACGAAACGCACCAAGTGGGACAACGAACTCTAGTGCGATTCAACCGAACTACATGAGGCAGGTGTGAAAGCACCCTAAAACTGAAACTAAAATTAAAACCATAAAAAAGTTACTTTAAATATAAAATAACATAACTGAACCATAAACATAACATAACCTTAAAGGGTTAGTTCACCCCAAAATGAAAATTCTGTCATTAATTATTCACCCTCATGTCGTTCCAAACCCGAAAGACCGTTCGTCTTCGGAACACAAATTAAAGGCGGCATAACACACACAGTTTCACCCAATCTCATGTTAATCTTGAGTACCTATAGAGTAGTACTGCATCCTTCATATCTCCAAAAAGTATTTAGTTTTATCATATTTATAAAAGAAAGACACAGCTTTACGATTCTCTCCGGAAAAAGCCGAGGTCCTGGAGGCGCGCCGTGGGTGGAGCTAAAGAGTGACGAGCACTTGGGCGCCGAATGCCAACAAAACAGACATTTGATGCCGTTTCACTTACCGTCTGCAGTTCTGAATCATGACCGGGATCTTTTATAGCTGGGACCGCTCCATCCTTCAGTATCAAACAATGTGCAAATCCAGCGTCGAACTGGGCCTTGTTTATAAAACGTTCGTCAACAAACACACTTGTGAAACTCCGTTGCTGCTCCGGAAAAACAAACTGCATCCACTGTTTACATAACGTTGGGTTCTTTAGGAAGCTGAACAAAGTTATCTTTCCCTTACAACCAAAAACACACCTCTTTAGAGACATTCTTCCTGAGCTGAATCATGACCGGGATCTTTTATAGCTAAAAAACGGTCCGCTCCATCTTTCAGTATCAAATGATGTGCAAATCCAGCGTCGAACTGGGCCTTGTTTATAAAACGTTCGTCAACAAACACACTTGTGAAACTCCGTTGCTGCCCCGGAAAAACAAACTGTATCCACTGTTTACATAACGCTGGGTTCTTTAGGAAGCTGAACAAAGTTATCTTTCCCTTACAACCAAAAACACACTTCTTTGGATTGGAGAGATTCTTCCCGAGCAAGTCCCGTGCAGCGCTGCCACCGGATGAAGCACGTTGATGGGCGCGATCTCGCTCTCACTCTGGTCGATGTGTGCACGGCCGGCTCTTCCGGGAGAAATGCCCATATAAGGAGTTCCACCCTCGTTTAAAAACTATAATGTATCTCAATGATACTAAAATAACACTGCAGTGTACTGTTATTAAAGCTGTATGTGGTACTTTAGAACAGGAAACAGCATTTAACTTCAACAGTGGCTTGCAGGGCAGGACTTCATTTTATCCTTATTGAAAAAGGAAAGTTATTTAAGCTAAAATATTTTTGTTCTAAAAGTATTTTATTTTATTATTTTATGTTTCATGAATTTTGTTTATTTATTATTTTTATTTTTTTACATAAGAGTAATTTTATCTTATTAAAATTTGTAAACTTGTCTGAAATAAATTTCATGCGCTGACAAAAATATGACAATGAGACTAGGTATAAATAAAGTAAAAAAAACTTCAATTTTGAGTGCCTAAAAATACTCGTGTGTACACTGCCATTGAAAAAAAAAAATATATATATATATACACACACACACACAGTATATGTATATATATATATATTTGTAATAAGACTGTAAGACTGTAATAATGAACTTAGTGTCACTCAGTCACTCAGATAAGCCGGATGTACCTGAGTGAGTCCTCCATCTTGCTCATCTTCCTCTTGCTGTTGGCTCGCTCCTTTTCCAGCTCGGCCTGAAGCGTTTGCAGCTGTGACAGGACAGCAGAAGTGTCAATCACTCAACACGCTTCATCAGCTCCCGCCCTTCAGCATAACTAAACAGAGCTGATCTAATTTTCTAAAGGTCAGAGGTCAGCCGTGAGCAGCCGCTGGCAGACGGCTGGCCTGCAGGTGTATACGGCCTCTGCTTTGCAGATGTGCCCTTGACAGAGGACCGGCCCTTTGAAGGTGAGGTGGCAGGCAGCAGCCAGGTGTCTGAGACTGATCTTAAAACTTATCTTCACCTGATTGTGTCGGCCCAATTATTAAAGCAGCCTTTTTATGACAGTTCTGAAGCTTTGAAGACTTTTGAAAGGGAGCCGCTTGGCAGCAGCTCCTATAAGTCTCATAATTAGTGGGGCTATCAGGTCGGACTATGACTGTCCAGTTATGCTCCCCTTTCATTTGGGAAAACACTTGGGACCCTCATGAGGCTGTGCTTTAACAAACACCAACTGGTCTCTGCTTGTACCTGGCATTTCTGGTGATCCGATCACAAGTGATCAGTGCTAAATACAGGTGTAAAGAGGGTTTAAAATGTTTCTTGATCAGATCACTGAAATTACATACAGTGGTAGACAAAAATGCATGTGACCACATCACATTTTTAGTGGAAACACTAAGCGCCCTGAAAGTGTGAAGCTCCGCCTACTCGCCATCCACAAGTGATCAAAGGATACACGTTTGAAATGCATGTTAATAATATGAATGGTATTGCATTTCACCTGACCATTTGTGATCGGATCACTGAAAACACTGAAAATCTTAATACCAGGTGGAAACTGGGCCTAAATTTTACAGCCACATCATCAAAGTGAACTAGGGCAATTGAGAGCAGAGCAAATGCTTTGATGTCTACCTAAAAACCTAAACCTGCTTAAACTGATGCTTACGTTTATTACAATTGCCTCAATATAATAACTAGCACTGTCAATGTTTAACATTTGGTATTATTAAGCATAAAAAATGCAATGCAAAAATGTGTAATTGTAAATGTATAAACCACAATCACTGAGAGCGGGCACAGAATGGGTGTGTATGTCTGTATGTTTCTTTATAATCAGTGACCACTTGCTTTGATATTTTGTTGTATAATTGCATGTCTAAACATTTTGGCAACTGCATAAAATTATTAAAAACATAAATATAATATTGTTTTAGTGAATAAATTAATTACCTTTTTGTCAGTGATATTTTGTAGGTCTGTTATCTCTTGCTGCATCTTATTCTCTTGGTCCTGGATAAAAAATCAAAACAAGGTTTTCATGCAACCCATTTTACTTCTGTAATATGGCATCTTTCTGATTGAAACAGGTTTTCAATAAAAAAAAATACAAAAATAAAAAATATTTTATACATGGGGAATTCATTTAATGTTGAAAAATAACTCTGTGACAAGTGGTTGGATGGGAGGGGTTGAAAAATCAGAGGGCCTGATGATAAGGAAAGCAACACAAGCTATGTATTGATAAAAAGATCATAAAGACAAATATTTGTTTTCTCTGGAATAACATGCACTGGTAAATTGTTCATAATAAGACCAGGGTCAATTTTGATTCCATGTTGGCATGTTCACTTGCATGATTTGCATGACAAAGCAAATAGTTATTCATTTTCATTAAGAGTTGGAACGCAAATCTGATTTGAACTTTTAACATTTTGCAAATGAGCAGTGATGTGATGGAGTGACTATCAATGGAACTGAAGTCAGTGGACTGGCATTCTGCAAAATACGGCAGCCAGATGTTTGTTCCTGCATTTCAAGTTGTGAATCCCACCAATGACGAGGGCAAACAGCAGTATGAACACTCTACAAACAAGGATAAAGTGACTGACGGCCTCACTGTGAGTATGGAAGGGTGTAAAAAGTGTGAACAACTGACCCTGAGCTGTTTCTGTCTCCTATTTTCAGCTTCCTGTATTTGCTGTTTGAGGTGAATCACAGTCTGCTCCAAATCTTCGATCACCTCCGATGCCTGACAACAAAGCAAACTACATTCAAAACATGCTATAAAACTGTAGGATTACAGACACTCTCTGATATCAAACACACTGGCATTAGCTCAGTTCCAAAACCTAGTAGACACAAACACAAATCACAAACATCCACCTGATGCAAAGACCCTTCAGTAGAGAGCCGTATAATTCTATTAAGTACATTTTAGAAAGGTTTAAAGGGGTCATATGATGCGATTTCAAGTTTTCCTTTCTCTTTGGAGTATTACAAGCCGTTTGTGAATAGATAAGATCCCTAAAGTTGCAAAGACTAAAGTCTCAAACCCAAAGAGATATTCTTTATAAAAGCTAAGACTCGTCCACGCCCTCCTAAAACGCCTAATTTAAACACGCCCCCACATGTCTATCCGGAGCTCCTCCGTGAGACTCGAGACCGGTGAGTGGTGCAGGTGTCGCTCATTATCAATTACTCCACCGGCCTCGCTCCGTTCCCACGGCTCTCGGCCCCGCCCCTCTCGTCACATACAGTATGTGGAAAATAATGTGTTTTTTTAACCTTAAACTGCATAAGCACATTTCATTACACCAAATACACAAAATAATGTTCTTTTTAGCAACATCATATGACCCCTTTAAGTATATTTCCAGGTCCATCTTATGTAGTTAAGTATACTAAATGTAGTGTATTAGTAGTATACATATAAGTATACTATTTCAATTATTTTTGGGACTGAACTGTAACGGTAGTAGACTTTGACTACAAAATTATTTTACATCACTAGTTTATAAGTTTTTCTTTTCTACTGCAGCTACATGAGCAGTAGAACTTCTAGATATACTGATAGTTTGCTAGCTACGTACTTCTAGCTTCTAGCTAGAAGCTAGAAGGGAATAAATGAGTAAAGCATGCGTAGGTGTGAGCGGTGAGTAAAGATGCCTTGGCTGCAGAGAGGGCATGCTCCTGCTGGAAGTGGCTCATGTCAGCGTTATGTCTGGCCTGAAGTTTCTGCAGCGCGTCTTCATGCTGGTCTCTCATCTGCTCCATCTCCCTTTGCAGGGATACGCTCCTAAAGCATACCAACAACTTTTTATTAGAGTGATAAAAATCACAAAACACAATAGCTCCAATCTCTTGACTCCATCGCACTGAATTAATTTAACTGCAATGTATTGTGCGACTGCATTATATGTTCAGGATATATTTAACACTGCCTTCAAGTCAGGTGTGTTTATGATGCCGTACATCTGTTTTGTAGCAGAGCTATGATTTTACATCAAATCTCTGCACCTGTGATCAGTTGTATCTGAGCTTGTCGGGATGATCAGGTGGTTTTCTTGTACCTGTGGTTGGCCTCTTGAAGCTCAGCGCTGATGGAGGCGATATGAATCTCTAACTCGGCTTTCTCCTGTGTGACCTTCTGCCGGAGCAGGTTCCCATTCTCCACCTCCACTGAGAGCTGCTTCACCCGAGTCTCCAGCTCATGCAACATCCGCTCCTAGAAGAACCAAACAGAAAAAGAAAGATAAGAGAAAAAGATAAGAGAAAAGTTCTGTAGAATTGTTTATTCAAATAGCTCATACAGCACTGGATTTAAAAAAAAAAAAACTTTCCTTGACAAAGAAAATAATTTTCCGTCAGTGCTTCTCCAGCCATTTGACCATCATTCTGAATCTGACTTGGACGTAGTCTTTGAGAAAAAAAAAAGTGATTTCTCAGCTTTCTGTTCAAAATGTTGCTTTTTGAAACTATGAAACTTACCCACATTCAATAAAATGGGTTGTTTTGTTTAAAAACAGAGGCTCTGTTCTTTCATGGTATTGTATTTATACAACAAAATATTCTGGGGGCTATGAAATTTTGTGAAAATGATCAAAAACGCTGGCACTAACGCTGGCACTAGCGCTGGCTAGCAACTTAAAAAAAGAAAATGCTGGTAGGGAAAGAGTTAATGTATAGTGCTTTATACAGTAAGATTGTTCAAAGTAGTGTTAATGTTGCAAAGCTGATTCAAATCAGTTCAGTGTCAATGTTGCAAAGTTTATCAGTTAAAAACAAACTCAAAACCCAAACTTTTGAGTGGTAGTGTGTCATTGTTTCCACAAAAATATTAAGCAGCAAAAACATCAACACTGATAATAATCAATGTTTCTTGAGCAGCAAATCAGCATATTAGAATAGCATATTCACAGGAATACATTACATTTTTAAATATATTCAAATTGAAAACAGCTATATTAAATTGTAATAACATTTCACAGTTTACTGTTTTTACTGTATTTTTGGTCAAATACATACAACCTTGCTGAGCATAAGAGACTTCTTTCAAAAACATTTAAATATGCTAATTATTTCAAACTTTTGACCGGTAGCTCACAGCTTTTTCAAAAGAACAGCTTAAGTGTAGTTGAACTACTTTAAATTATGAGTAGCTTGTATCTTGACAAACTACAGCTTCACAGTAGCTTCCCATTACAAGGGTACATGATTTCCACTACAAAGAGATAGCAGAGAAAGGCAGTGAAGATCTCCTGAATGGGGAATTCTTCTGTAGATGTGATAGGGAAAGTTGAACAGTTCAGTAACAGTGAGCTTAAACAGCTTTCTAACCGCTTTCATGGCCACCACACCATCCTCATCCACCTTCAAAGATGATCTGAGATCATATTTCAAACTAAAATCTGATGCACCTGTGGGCCTCTGTTCTTTAGCACAACCCAGAACATGCTGGGACTGAATATGAAAAAGGCATGTGCAGCAAAGCATGGATCAGCCCTCAAAGAACATCTAGGATGGTCTTCATTTGAAAATGAGACAACCATATCTGACGAAATACAGGAAGGGGAAAACTTTCCATGGGACAGCAAGAGCTGTTAAACCAAAACCAGACAGCCTGCCTGAGCAGAGCGCAGACACACACACACACACACACACA